CGCTAGTACGTTCTTGGTCTTGCGCCTTACTACAAAGTGGCAGTGGAGAAAGTTTGTCGACCACGGTATAGTAAGGCTGCCAACGTGGGGTTTAAAGTTTAGACGGGGTCTCCCATGTCGAGGGAATGAACCCTTGCGCGCCTACCATAAAGGCGTTTACTTCGCGCGTGTGCTACTTTAGTGTCCTGCTGCATCGCAGCGAATGCTGGGTGCAAGCGTATAGTAGCGTGATTTACTGGCTTGTCAGCGTATGACAATCGTCATACAATCTCTAGATCTCTACCATCTGCGTGTGAATTGCTCCGACGTCGTAGCCGAAAACGTGGCAGGGTAGCTTACGAAGCGTAATGAAGCGTGATGAAGCGTAGTGAATATGAATATGTGTAGTGATGTGAAATATGAGTTGTGAAGCCTACTCAGGGCGAGGGTTGTGAGGCCCCACCGGTAGGCAAAGGCGGTACCACTTGGTAAATGGGTCGTGAGGCCATACCGCTGAACGACGATGAGGTGGTGGGCATGATTGATGAGTTATGAGGTGACATGGGCGCAGGCGCGTCAGAAACAACCGAGAAAGCACGTTTCCTTAAGCGTTGTAATGGCCGCCTCGCCCGTTATGGCCGTATGGCCGTAATAGCATGGCCGTAATGGCCGTAATTGTCCAGTCGCCATTAAACAAATGACTGATTCATCAATGACGATGAAGCGATAGTCTCTGTGCGTGTCTCTGTCTCAAAAAAATGTCGGCTAGGCGGCTCTGTGTTTCAGCCGTTGAAATTTGATGATCCGGTATCGCTTGCAATGCGAGATTGAAAGAATTTGTCGCCATACGGGCGAGAGTGAAAGAATTTGTCGCTATACGGGCGAGAGTGAAAGAATTTGTCACCATACGGGCGAGAGTGAAAAAATTTGTCGCCATACGGGCGCTTATTTCGCCACAATGCTGCTGAAAATTGTTAAGCGCATGCTGCGCGAAACGGGGTTATGCGACGAACGTGGTTAGAGATTAGGGTTAGATTATTCGAGTAACAATGATATCAATTGCGCACGCGTCTCACGCGCGTTGCAGACGGCCGTACACACACACACACACACACACAGGCACACGCACACGCACGCGCGGTTGCGCACCCACGCGTTGCAGGCGTACACCCACACACACACACACGCACACAGGCGCACACACGCTCACACACGGGCGCACACAGGCGCTCATACGCACGCACACGCAGGCGTATAGATGCACGCTCACACACGGGCGCACACAGGCGCTCATACGCACGCACAC